TAACATACTGAGCTCCTGCTGTGCCCTGGGCACTTGGCTATATCCATTAAATGAATCATCATGCTAAGCTGTATAGTCTTCTCAGGGGTTGGTGATACTCTCCTAATTTCAAGCATGAGGCTGCTGAGATTCTGAAGAGCACTTATTCAGAAGTAAATGGTAAATGTCAGTTTGAGATTTGATGCGTCAGACATCAAAGGCCAATTTTATAGCTCTATAGGGATCACTCATTGATGTGGGTGAAGGATATGTATGGAGGCTTGATAGCAGTTGTGTTAGTGAGTACAGTGATGGTGCCTCCGAGCATTTTAGGCATTGTATTTGTTTTTGTTCTCCTCCCCCCGCCCTCCCCCTACACACATGTGGAGGCCAGATGTGGGTATCAGGTGTCTTCCTCAGTCTTTCACTACTGTATTTTGGGGGGGGGGTCTTTTTTGAGACAGCTGGCCTGGAACTCACTATGTAGACCAGGCTGGCCTTGAAGTCACAGAAATTCTCCTGCTTCTGCTTCCCAAGTGCTGGGATTAAAGGCATGCACCACTATGTCTGGCCTCTCCACCATATTTTTTGACACAGGGTCTCACTGAACTTGTAGCTCACTGATTTGCCTAGGCTGACCAGCCAGTGAGCTCCAGAGATCTACCTCACTCCACCTCCCCATTATTGGGTTTTCATGCATCCAGATTTTTAGGTCCTTGTGCTTGTGTGGCAAGTACTTTACTGACTGAGTTACCGCCCAGCTCCTCCTCCTTTTAAATTTGTATGTGTGTGTCTTTGTGCATGTGAGTGCAATACCTGTGGAGGCTAAAAGAGGGTGCTGGATCCCTTGGAGCTGGAGTCACAGGCATTTATGAGCCACCTGATGTAGGTGCTAGGAACCAAACTCAGGTCCTCTGCAGGAGCAGTATGCACTCTTAACTCGTGAGCCATCTCTCCAGCTCCTGTTGTTTTTCTAGATGAGATCTTTCTGTTTCATCCAGGCTGACCTTGAACTCCTGGGCCCATGAAATTCTTCACCTCAGCCTCCTGAGTAGCTGGGACTATATGCATGACACTGTGCCCAGCTTTATTTTAGAAGCTTTTAAAAAACATTCCTGTACCTTGACCAGCCATTCATTCCTTCATTCAATAAATAAATATATATTAATTAATTAATTTTTTGGGAGGGGTCTTTTTGAGACAGGGTCTCCCTATAGCCCCAGCTGGCCTGGAACTCACTATGTAGACCAGGGAGGCCTCGAAATCACAGAGATCTGCCTGCCTCTGCCTCACAAGTGCTGGGACTACAGGTGTGTGCTACCATGCCTGGCAACAAATATATTTTTAAAGCCCTTTTCTACATTTATTGATGGATTTATTTTATGTGTGCACATGTACATGACATGGTACACACATAGAGGTCAGAGGACAACCTACAGGAGTTGGTATGCTCCTTCTACCATGTGAACTCCAGGGACTGAATTCAGGTCATCAGTCTAGAAGGCACCTTACCCACTGAGCCATCTTGCTAGCCCCTCACTCAGCAAATACTTATTGAGTACCCACTGTGTCTAGCATGTCAGTGAATGAAACTCCCTCAGATGGCTTGCTTCAGGAACACTGTGTCTTCTTAACCAGTCTCTGAATGTAGATCTTAATGATTCTGATAATTATTATAGCCTTAGAGTCATTGCTCAAGGAGTTACGATAAATTAAGATCATTGAACATGTCTTCAAACTTCTTTCATTGTACAAACGTGCTTATGACCCCCACCCCCCAGATGGCACTTAGAAGTACTCAGTAACATCCAGAAAACTTTACTAGAATCAAACTGTCAAGGAAGCTTCTATGGTCAAGGAGTTGGATTTTCAGTTACCTGTCCCTGGAGTCAGATACACCACGGAAGGTGCTTATTAATGATCATATTAATTTTTGCATTTGTATAGACTTAACTATATTCCACGAACAGTTGAGTAACACACTATACATATCATTTGGGGACCTTAAGGTACAAAAAAGTTGTCCCTGTTCTAAAGGAGCTTGGATGTGTGGATGATACCAGTTTATCCTTAAAAGAACTATGGGAGTGGTGTGAGTTAGCTCTGGAATTGCTTTATATAGACAAGGTAGGTTGAACAAATATGAAAAATAATTGTAGATGCTGAGAACCAGGTTTCTCATCGTCAACGGTGTTACAAATGAGCAAGGGAGGAAGACCAACAAACCCTGTCATGCTAGGTTAGAATGGGTGATATAGCTATTAACCCACTTGTTGTAGTCTTAAGTACAGACAGATACAGAAGTGATTATTGATGTGTGTGTATGTGTGCATGGGCTCTAAGCTGAGAGTCCCTACCTAGAAGCAGTGACATTAGCAGTAATGAGTATCCCCAGCACCTGGATCATGTTTTCTAAATTGCATTCTTCAAAACAACAGTGTTTCCTTAAAGAAATAGATCATTCTGTGGTGGGCGCAGGAAAATGCAAAATAAGCCTCAAGCATCTCAGTGTTCAAACAGAAGTATTAAAGGCAGGGGGTCTGTGTGTGTGTGTGTGTGTGTGTGTGTGTGTGTGTGTGTGTGTAGAGCTCAATAGCCAAAGCTCAAGCAATTTCAGCAGTAAAATAACATTAGCATTGAATTATACCCTAGCAGTTAAAATAAATTCCTTACAGAAAAATTCTAGAAAATAGGTTTAGATAACCCTCTCTCTAAGAGGGAGGCAGGTTAATACCCTCTGAGCATGAGCTGTCTTAGCACCTATTGTTTGAACAGCGAATAAAAAGGAAAATAGCAACATAGCAATAATTACTTGAGAAGTGTTTCATAAATTTGAGGAGGGAAATTGAGGAAGAAAGCAATTCTTTTATAACATATTTTAGTATTAAGCAAATAGTTTAACATAAGCACATTTGTACAATGAAGGAAGTTTGAATTAAGCAATAAATGGAAAATAAGGATACACTTTGTTGCTCAAACACTGGGAAGGCTGTATATAGACCAAAAGCATTGAGGAATTTATTAAAAATACAAAGCGTTTCCATTCAAATTGATGGTAAAATCTTGCTATGTGGAGAAATCTGCAACCTCATGCTTCAAGTGAGTCTTATCAATTAATTCTGGAAAAGCCCAAAGCTGAGTTTGAAATTCAGAATGGATTAAGAATGGTAAGAAAGTACCCAGGTACCATGCATTACACCCTTTCAAAGCAACTAATCCCAGTACCTGCTAAGATACTGTGCTGGTTAGGTTTTTTCCTCCTAATAAGTCGTACAGAAATTATTTTTCTTTGTTACTGAATTTTTATGAATTTCATACATAATATGTTTTGATCATATTTAGACCGCTTCCCTACCTACATCCTTCCTTCCTACCTGCTGCCCAATTTCATG